CCCCAGTTTTGACCCCCTGCACTTTATGTCTCCCCACCTTCCCCCTCTCCACTTACTTGCTCCAACAATCTGAGAAAATTTGAGCAAGCCCTGCCAAAAGTGTGGGTGTATTTGCAACCCTACTGACTGCACCCAAAGCCTACACCTAGCCAGAGTCGTCTGCCTACGAAGTGTTTCAGCCACGGTTTCAGCACGAGTGCGAGTGAGGCAGAAGCTACACGTGTGTGCATGTCGCCCTGAATGACTCTTGCACTGCATAAGCCCTTGTGCGTAGCTGACAGGCACTTCCAAGGCGTGGAACTCGCTCTCGTAGCTTCTGCTATGCTTGCACTTCCACTGAAATGAAACCTACTTTGGCACCTCTTATCACGTGGCAACCCCGACAAAGCAACACATATATGACGCACAAGTGTACCAAAATTATTTTTCGCGCACGAGTATAGGCAACCTGCAATGCAGTTTGGCGCTACACGTTGCGCCATCTAGCGGCTGCAAAATAAAGAAACTGGGTAGGTCAGGCCTGCGCGGGTCGCGGGTGCAGCGGGCGGTCGCATCCATAAACCACGTGTGAACGTTGCATTCCGAGTCGGCGTGAGCTTTTTTTGGAACCGTTTTTCGTAAAAGTAAGTCCCAACTTCAAGTCTCTACGACCTCACCGGGTTCCTGTAACATCTCGCCTACCTCTTAGAGTTCCCCCCCAAAAAATAAACGCTGCTACTGCTGCGTGAAACACGGCCACAGTCGCGAAGGTGACTCAAGCGTCAAACTTCATCGCTTCCCTTCGAGATCTTGGGAAGCGACACGGCGACAGAAGTGGATTACTGCAGTGCGACGCATCAAGTAAGTGAATTTTACAGAAACTCTTTGGGGGGAAGTGAACGAAAATATATGTGCAGGCTCGGAAAGTGGTCGGACGAACTCGTTTTGCAGACTACTCGGCAAAATAACATATTACAAGTTATATTACAAGTCGCTTTAACAGCCACATAGGGAAATACGATAGGAACAATCGGGCCGATTGCTGCTTCGGTGTGACGTCGAGGATCGGGTGATCAGGTCTTCAAGCGAAAGGCCCGTCGGCCCGTTCCGGCACCGCTAATGCCGTACGGCATGCGTGGTCGCAACCAAAACCTTCCAAACCTGCGAGTGGATTTTCGTAGCACAAAGTTTTGTTTGTTTCAGCAACCAAATTTAATGCCGAGTCTAGTAACAAATGTGACGGCGTGCAGAAACAGGCTGCTAATATTTTTTGTTTGGAAAAAGTTTGTGCGAAGGGTAAATATCCTTCCACGTATACTCTTCGTTGCCTGTCGCCTTTTTACACCAGGCTTTGCGATGTGCGTATGGTTATGTAGCATGCTGAGTTCCAAATTTTATTCTAGTGTGTGTGGCCGTCGGGAGGAGAGGAAGGCCGAGCAAGGCGCCAGCGGGGCCAGCCGGCGAGGAAAGAGGAAGAGCGTGCTGCACGAGGCTGGGACCGGGCAGGAACGATAGAGCTGTTCTGGCTAGTCTGGCCCATGGCGATTCCCGGGAGCATTCCACCAGCGAAGTTCCGGTCAGGACTGGCGGAAGCGGCGAGCCCTGGCCATACCGGCCTGGGCCATGACGATCCCGTAGTGGTTCCGCAGCGAAACTGACTGAGATAGCCCGGAACAGCTAGCCTACGCCGTACTCGCGTGGGAAGGACGATCCGCAGGCCTGGACACGGGCTCCGACTGCGAGTTCTGACCGACGGGCGACAACTAGGGTCGGCGGGTCCGGACTGCCGGCTCTCGAAGACGGGCAACCGGAATGTACAATAAACCTATTCGCTGCCTTCTCGTTCTATTGTGTCACTTCCTGGGAGACGAGCGAAGCACAGACCGATCGGGCGGCCACAAGTAGTGAAGACAACTCAAACTGGTGTCCAGATGACGACTCTAGAATATTCTCTAAACACTTGGACCTATCAAGGCTCCCGATGGTCTTAAAAAAACGCACGAAAAAACCAGGGACGCACGCAGGTGCACACGGGGACTGCTGAAATCGGGGTCGCCGCCGCCCGCAACGGCCCGGCGGGCAGATAGGCCGCCCCAGTAACAGAGGCGCCGCCGCTTGTGGCGCTGAATGCAGTACTATCGTGGCGCCGCCTGGCCATTGCCGGCTGCCTATGCAGAAATATATAAAAAGGAGCACGCCAATCAACAGGCATGATAAAGAAAGTGCAGAAAGCGCATATATAATGACGAGGCAGCTAAGCATGCATCGTCCTTGGTGGATACTGGCTGTAAAAAATGCACAGTTGGCAGGTGAACTTACACACCAAGCTGGATGCGAGCAGGTTTTCGAACGCTGAGGTTCAAAACCTTGGCGTGAAATGGTTATAACTAAAGTCTCTGCCTTTGATAGATGCTTCAAAAACACTGGCATATGTAGGGTACAGCACAATCCGCTACACCAGACTTAATAGGAGTGTAACCAATGGCCATGATAACACTTCCCTTTTGTGGATATATGGTGGCAAAGACAAACCATGCACAATAAATATATTTCATGTGTATCTCCTATTTATTTTACTACAGTTTTAATCTATCTTATGTGCTGCAGTGTCACCTATGCATGTAAAATAATTTCTGATAAACTGCAATCGTTCTTAAATTTGTGAGAATAAATTCTAATTCACAACTATTGTGAGATTTGCGTCCCAGTAGTATGGTATCTCAGCTCAAACTGTTCTTTCACTTAGCGCGCAACTCGCACACTAAATATGTTTATACGAAACTTACCAATGTAGAAGTCCTCGTGGCAGTTGGTTGAGTTGAGCAAGTACTCCGTGAACTGACGAGCGACGCCTAACAAGACGCAATGCATGTAGTCTACATTGAAACCCCACACCAGGTCGAAGTTGGGCAGGGTGGCGAGAGGAGAAGGTCCCTTGACCCCGTTGACCGACACCCCACTCTGGAGGGCCAGCTTCATGTCTCTCAGCACTCCTTCAGGAGTCCTCTCTTCATCTGGTGCGGCGCCTCGATAACGCAGGCTTCCTAAAAGTGTAAAACAAGAGCAGCAGAGTTTGACTTGGCACATTTAAATAGAGTCTAAAAGCAATGAGCGCAACCAACGGGAAGTTAAGAGAAGCAAACAGTGTACAGAATGTAACAGCGAGAGACTTACCCCCCAAGTGCTCTCCACTAGCCAAGCACCAGTGGCACCCGAAGTACCCATTGAAGTGGGTGTGGTTGCGAACTTCAGCCCGCGCTGGCGCATCCACACAGCAGCATAGAGCATGGACCTTGGAAGTCATGACAGTGGAGTCGCTCTCCCAGGTTACGGTGTCGAGAGACGTCACTTCTTCAACAAACTTTGTCATAAAGAGGCCCATGTCCGGGTGGGTTGAGCCAAACCAAAGTCCTGCCAGGGCACAGTGGTCGAACCGGACGGTTGGTGGAAGCTCATTGATAATAAGCTGGATTGGCCAGATGCAGGATCTTGAAGACTTGTACAATGGGCTGCCGTCCGTATTAAACGTGATAGTTAGGTCAGTCCACTCAAGCACACCCGTCTGCTGGAGGTGCTTGTAAGCTGCTCCGCTTGTGATGTCCCGAATGATATCAGAGGGAGCCTGGGCTTCTTCCCTGAGCTTTACCAAGTTTTTGTAAAGCACTTGATTTGTTTCGCTTATTATCTGCTGTATTTGATGTTGCAAACTCATTGTGATGAAAAAGCAGCCATCGCTTTTGGCCTTTGCAAGATCGCATGCCATTGCACACTTGGCACAGACTTGGGTGGTTTGATGCTCGCTTGAATCAAGCAACGATCCGCAGCTTTTACAGTAGTAATGGTACTTTACCACACCTTCAGTTTTGGGCGCCCAAAGCTTCCGGAATAGATACTTGCTGCGCGGAAGCACGTCACTTCCAACACCGAACATTGCGTTTACCATACGCAGTAGTTTCTCCAGCGCTGACCAAGTCAAGTTTTCCGACGTCAGGAAGGACATAATGAGGGCAACAGCCTCTGCTTTGGTTGTCGTTGAGTGAGGTAGTGTGGAATTGCCGTATTCCGCAAAGCTGTCGGCGAGACATTGTGCTTCATCGTAAGCGGGGGGCGACACACTGCCGGGAACGTCATGTTCTTCATTGATGATGTCCTGCTGGCAGGGATCGCCATGATCAAGTTCTGTCTCCATGTTGCTCGATTCATCCAATGACTCATCAAAGCAAGCACCAGTTTCGAGTTGGTCACCGAGTTCTTCGGCAGGGTCGTCGGAAGTGGACAATGTGGGCTGCCCGTATCCAGACGTAGATGGAGAAGGTGAAGCCTCGCCGCCGGGCGCAATGCTTCCTTCCAGGCAACGACCGCGCTCGGTCTGGTTTCGGCATTTCGTTGAACTCGGAATTATGAACGGCTCACCCTTTTCCAAATAGTTCTTCCTACGCTTTCTCTTGGGCGCTGATTCCAATGTCGTGGTCTCGAATGCACCCGACTAGGAACTAGCACTCGTCACACCTTGAGCGCCTTGAGCACGAAAAGCACGCACATACGATTTTTTTTTTCTGAAAGAGCCAAAGCCATGGAAAGCGAAACCGAGATAAACGGGAGTTTTTTTCTCGTTTTTTTTTATCTGTATAGTTTTAAACCCTGTACTGCGGCCGCCCGTACAATTTTGTTTCTCACATAATATGACCGATATCAGTTTGATACCTACTGGAAAGGTGCCCATTCAAATATTCTTCGAATTTCGGCAAAAATTACCTTGGTTTCGGTTTATTTCAGATCGGATTGGATTGGCTTTCATTGCTGCAACCAGACACCAACGTCGGACAAACAACGTTTTTTTTTAACAACAAATAAACTGAACATGGTAAATTTTTTATCATTTTAAATGTTTTAAAAATTATTCGAGTAATAATAGTACTGATATATAACAAGGCAGAATGAGTTCAATCCAGTCCAACCTTTACGTACCCACGCCGCCCACGCCAGCTGGCCAGTGTTTTTGGATGCTCTGGCAGCTCTGGACTAGTGCGATCGGTGTTCAGGACGAAAGCAGACAAAGACACATCACGGTTATTTCATTGTCACTATGTTTTACGCGTACGTGATTTACCTTGATGGCGCAAAGGCTATCGTAAGCGTAAACTGCATTAAGAAATTCAAGCCAGCGAGTGTGGAGGATTTCGACCCCGACGCTCTGAAGAGCGTGTATTGGAAGGCCACTGGAGCGTGCGCCGGGGAAGGCTACTACAAAGCTAAAATCCAGATGCTTTGCGGTAAGTTTTCTATGCATGAAGGGCTCGAAGCACAACGTTTACTGCTAACCGTTAATGTTCGCGAGCCCCGAATTGTTTGCCGAATTCACGCGTCCTTAAAATAAGCGAAATCTAAGGACACGTGCAAAGCGAAAAGTTCGTGGGGCCCCGTTCTGGCGCCCCCGTTCCGGCGTCTAGAATTCGCGAAATTCGGTAGGCACGAATATGTTCCTGCGCACGATTTTCAAAGAACTGGGTGGCGAAAGCAAAGGGTTTTTACATTGAACTACAGGGTGGTCCAGATGGCAGCCACACACTTAGAATAAATCGTAACACGTCGGCTTTGTAAGCTACGACAAAAGTTACACGTAAGTTCGACTAGGTGGTGCATTTAATTTGTAAAGGTATCAACGAAAAGTCTTGTTGAAATAAGGGTTATAGCGCAGGCTAGCTGGTGAACGGCCATACTTGTAAACCCGGATACAAGAGGGGAAAAAAGGGGACAAACACAAGGACTTCGAGACGTAATTCAATGCGCATGTTTTGTTTTACAGAGACACGGGACGACCTGATAGCAGCCCTTAAGAAGAAGCACATGGCGATCCCCATGATTCTGAATTCCAAGTTCGAGGTATATGTGCGCCTTAGGCTGTTTTATTACCTCGTTCTTCTATTCTGTTCAGAACCAGGGGCCTTATGTTGGTATTTTGTGCCCCTTTTTCAAATCGGCTGCAGACTTCACTTCCATTACCTCTGGAAAAGGGGACAGAAAAGCCCAACATATGGCCCCAGTGGGCAGTAATTATGGGTAAAATTGCTTGGTGATGCTCAGGAGTATCTTGCATTTTGTTTGCTTCACGAGTAATTGTGTTAATTCATTATGGCTGGTCAGGGCTATTTGTATAGACATTCTTCTTTTAATTGCTTGCTATTCTGATACACAGATCCGGAGGGTAGATACGCTCTATGAAAGCAGACCGCAAACACACAAAGAGCCGCAGCTTGGCCACTCCTGGTCTTGATTGTGCTGTAGCCGAAGTTGTCCCTTTTCAATTTCAAGACACATGCTCTCCTGCTTGGTGTCTCGATCGCATTGTATCTGAAGTTGACCCTCTTCAGTTTTAGGAGATGTTTTCGCCTGCCGTAAGTCTCAATCTTGCTGTACTCGGAGTTGCATCTCTTCTCCATTATTGCAAGATGTCCTCGTTTGTCTGGTGTCCTGCTTGCATTGCAGCCAAAATGACCTCTCTTGGACCGTTTCATCCACTTCAATGGTCATCTTGTTACCACTTGCCTGTCTAGCTTTCAACAAACATATTTCCGAAGTGTCCTAGGCACTTCGCTGTCGCTGTGCTTCAGCACACTTGCATAGACGTTCCTCTGGCGAGACCTGCATTCGCTTATTGACAACGATAGATGATGCTCAAGTTGGGTTCACACAGCTCTCCTCAGCTGTGCGACTGCGACTAGATGTTACACACATTGTCATTGCTATGGTAACATTGGCGTTGAAACACTGGCACGTGCACAAACACAGCTCTTGCCTGCACTCGTAACTCTCTTGCAAATGCTTACCCATGTGCGCTCATGAAACGGATACGATGCCCGGCTTTCGACACCAACAGTTGTGGCTTTGAAACACAGTGCCGGCGGCATGTTTTTCTTTTCTGATACTATATTATGCTGGTATATGCTCATTTCAAAAGCAGGTTCAAATCCACCGACTAGTGGACGCCTAAAGTGCATAGGGTTTGCTTATAAATGCTATCGTATTTCAAAGTACTTGATTGCAAGTTAAAAGTAACTGAGAGGTTATGTACAGTCGGGAGCAAAAGTTTGCAAAGCACGGGAGCAAAAGTTTGCAAAGCACGGGAGCACCAGCCGAAAAGACTCGCTGTGCCTTTTCCCGGCGCATTGCCACTCTCAAGACCCGCACTTTGCGCGTGCGCTTTCTTTCTTGTTCGTGGTCATGATTTTTTTCGCTTGCTTCCGTTCGACACTCACGCGATGGCAGGGACTGGCGCAAGGTGCCGCGAAATGTTATCTGTAGCATGCGCGAGCTCCGTCGCCCATCACGGTGGCTGAGGCAGACGCGGGGCATGATAGCTGTCATATATAGTGGCACCTTGCGCCGGTCCCGGTTATCTCGTGCACGTCAGGCGTAAGCGAGCAAAACAGACATGACTTAGAGCACGAAAAAAAACACCTTCTCGGAAGCGTGAATCTTGAGAGTGGCCCCGCACCGTCTGAAGGCGCAACCAGTCATTTTGGCTGACGCTCCCGCGCCCCGCAAACTTTTGCCGGCGACTGTACTTCAACTAAGGTTGGAAGTACCCTGGGTGCAAAGTAGTATAATCGTAATTTGCTTTCTAACTAATGTAGAAGTATTCTTTATACAGAATATTTCATCATAGTGTTTCGTTTGACTATGCAGTGTTTTCTGTTAACTGGTTCACTTAGCGCAAGAGGTACTAGAGTTTGTAAAGGACGATACAGCAATAGACTATATGCAAAATGTAGAGCACCAAGAACTACGTCTGCGATCTTGCTAGCGGCGAGAAAACGAAACTGGTGACCCGACGGGCAAAGACGTCATGTAAACAAGCGACCGCACTTCGTGCGAGAGATGCGATGCCAACGCGTTGCTGCGTTCCGTAGTGAAAAACCTTCAATTACATAAACAGGGTTCACTTTTTTTTAAATTTGTTATTTGAGATTTTTGACAGAAACAATCGGTGTCAACACGTGGACGTTATCGCGCAGCATGAAGCCATTTACTACTATTGAAATGGGCTCTAACCTTTTCACGAAGTTGTACCAAATTCGTTTCTTAACTCCTCTCTTTTTTTATTCTTCTCTTTTCGGAACGTTGTAATGACAGCCTGCGTTTTTCTTAAAGCGGCCCTGCAAGGACTTTTTACTGGTTTTTAATTTGCCCCGCACCTGAGTGCAGTGAACGTAGTAACTTAATGAAACTTTTCTTTTCTCGAAATTCGCTTTATTTTAAATGTTATTGGCAAATTAAAATTACAAAAACAAGCAAAAAATAACCTCCTTCATGACTGCCTTGGTTGCTTGAGTGGCCATGAACTAGACGAGGGGTAGTAAGATTAGCGAGCGCTCACGGGCTGCCGCACTCCGGTTCAACGGAGCGAGAGGGCGCCACTAAAACATGTTTTGGATAGGCTGTATGTAGCGGGCGGCCAGAGCGGCGCTCAATGCTTTTGCTGCGCGATTAAAGACTAATTTGGCATGGCACTTCATTGGCCACAAACGACAGCAAACACGGGGTAAAGATCAGTTCAAAATGGGAGCCACTTCGCGCTGCCACACCGCGAAATGGCCAAACCGCAAGGCAAAGCTTCTCACCGAAGGCCTTCGGAACGCTCGGAGCCGGTCGGATCCTCCAGCCCGTAAACGACCGCAGCGCCGCCTCGTACATCCGAGACTTTTCCGTGTCGGCGCCTGATCCCACTACTCTTTTCTAGTGTGCGCCGCCTTTTCCACCGCTTGGTGGCGGGTATGTCGACTGGTCATTTCTTGTTTCCGTACTTTATAAACTGCATTCGTTTCTTTTCGGATATAAAATACTGAACAAAAACTACTTTTATAAATAATTGAAACGGTTCGCGCCGCTTATATTTAGTATTTCGACTAAAAAGAAGCTTTTAGCGGCTCTGATCAGTAGTAAGCCCAGGACCTAAAACGTCACATTTTGCGCGCTTTCGGTACCGTGGGTCGCCCCCGTCGCTGAAGGAGGTTTCAGCGTCGTCCGGTTAAAATATGACGCACTGATATTTAGTTACTCAGTCCGTGCCCACTGGCTTGCCCGAGCCCCAAGCGACGTGGAAATAGCAAAAAAAGTAGACGCTTAAATATGATTGCAGGGCCCCTTTAATGCGCAAGCAGTTCGATGCGTGCGGACGAGACCAAGGCTGTTAAGCGAGGTAAAAAGGTGACAGTTTTAATAATCTATGCCACCAACCATAATTGAAGATATGTATGGTGCACAGTGAACGACAAAACCTGAGAGCACCACAGAGCCCTCATATTAACGTCATGTACTTAAAAAAAAAAAATAATTACTTTGGAAAGCAAGAAAACAATCTCATTGCTTTGCAGAGATTGTGACACTTGATCTGGCGTCGGTAAACGATGTTTGTAAAACACCTTTAAAACTAAAGAGGAGAGTTTGTAGATATATATTCTTGAATATTTAAAGCACAGTCATGTAGAATAAAACACACAATAGACACTGACGACGTGTCTGTTTCCTGAACACACGCAGAGACGGGATTTCGCTGCCTTTTTTGTTGGACGCCACGTTCGATTACGTCAAATGTGGCCTTAGATTCATTGCAGTGGGTAAAGCTTCGATGTAGGCGGCGGCTAAATAAATTACGTTGTGGACGTCGAAGCAACGCAGGCGTTGCCAACTTCAGCCGCAGCCGAGGTAGAACATTTTAGTGCAAAGGAGCTCGGGGGGTAGTTTTGAGGAAGTCAATACTTATTCTACCGGGGTTGAACAAATTTTCATTCATAGCGCAACATCCATCAACTTTGTTGAGGTCAATACTGTCTGAAACTATTTTGAGCTCTTTGCAACGCCTAAAAAATATTGCCGTGAGCACAGTTACCTTTAAAAAAACACAAAGCATTAAAAAAAAAACATTTCGCCAGTAACAACTAAAATAGAAATACTGTACTAACTTTGAGTCGCATGTATTGGCATGGAGCAGTCTACCGCTAAACAGTTAGCTTCATGCGTATTTGCATTGAAAAAAAGGAATTAAAGTGTCCTCGGAGATGAAAGGTATGACTGCTTAGTCCCATGTCCACGTTGGATAATCGGAAGTAAAAAAAAACAACAACAAGTTTTTGAATCGCACTTAGTTGCAGAGTGTCCATTCCTGGGAAATGCTGAGAAACCGAAACTCAAGATACTTGACACTACCAAGATGGCCGTGTGCACAGTGCTGTTAGACCACCAAGCTGTTTCACACAAGGTCTTATTTCCTGAAATGGCAATGAATATCGGATATATGGTCATGGGCACCTGGAAGCATTTTTTCAGGGAGAGAGAGCAATCACAGGTAGAGGGCTGGAACCTACACCTCCTAAAAAGAGAGAGGGGGAGGGGTGCAATTTATTGTGAACTACGTCTGTCCCAATCCCGTGTTGGAAGTTTATATTAAATATTGAGACACCTGGACCTTTCTTCTTTTTCAGATTGAAATGTCGCCGCCCTCTGCGGTGGGCAGCGAGGGTGAAAGCAAGAAGAAGAGGAAGACAGAGGACGGGACGTCCGGTGTATCGCTCGTGGACCACGCCCGACTCGTGGAGAAACTAAAGACAGCCAAGCAGAGGGTTGTGAACCTGGAGCAGGAGCTCCAGATTGAGAGGGCATTGTCACGAAGACTGCAGGAGCAGCTGCTGGCACTGCTGGGTAAGCGTGTAGGCACTTTCAGTTGCCCACTTCACACACTACATGTTATGTGTACTCCCACTTCATCCAGGAGATCAAAACAACCTTTAATTTTTTCTTGGTCGCAAACAAAATTAAGCATATACTGCTGGTTTGCTTCAATGTATCAATCAGTTCAAGAGGTGTCTATAATTCTCTTTCCTTCGTTTAGGTTGCAAATGGAGCTTTGAGAGTTTGTTCCTTGTTGCTGATGACCCCGTTTTGCTCCGCAGCACTCTTGCATTGACCAGAGAAATACTTTTCTGCAGTTCGTCAAACAATCATGTCCACACCAAGACGTTATTGTCCGTCACATAGATGAGGCCTTGAAGTGTAAAAGGTTTGTGCAGTCAGTCACAACATTGTAATATGCACTTTCCAATAAGCCCGGCCAGAGTACATCCTTTCGTCATTGGGGAGAAAGGAGTTTTTTTTTGTTGAGGAGGAGGAGGGAGTGAAGAAGCTGGTCGTAGGCATTACCACATCACCGAGGCTGAGCTTTAATCGGGTGGCAGATTGTGGCTAGCGATGCAACTGGGCAACTGGTCGAAAGGTGACCAGACGGTCTGCTAACAGCATTGGATTTCGCCCGAAAGATTCAGCTTACGTCTCGCCAACCGTCGGAAATACTTGTCATGAATATTCATTAGTTATTTACTGGTACTTCTTTGTAAACAAGTTCACTGCCAGCAAACTTTAGCGCATTTCGGTTTTTCTCTTCTTTCTTTCTTTCTTTTTTTTTTTCTTATTTATTTTGTATCCTGCTTGCAGGTTCTTATAGACGTATTGAATAATTATTTTTTCGAAGAAACATCTTTTCCAGTCCCGCTCTGTTCCGGGAAAAATGAAGCCCTCATGCCATCAACTGACCAGGAAAGTGTTGAAGTCCGAATAATCAAGCACGTCTGAATTTTCGGCATCCGAAAAATCGGTCGGCTACTGTACCGTGTTTAGCCCATTTGCAGAGCTATTGCTTGCAGGAGAGCTGGTCTTTTTTCTAAACAGTGTTTTCTTATGTTGTAGGGGAGAATGCCCCTCCTGGCGGTGTTGGGCCAGCTCCTCCAGCTTGCCCAGCAGCAGTTCCTGCTGCCGGTGCTCCTGCTCCAGTTCACATGCGAGCTGGTGTGGCTCATGCTCCACCCATGCCGGCCGCTGATGTTGCTGCTCCAGCAGCGGACCATGTGGCAGGCCCACCGGAGGCACCTCCCCAGTGTGTAGCAGTGCTTGGAGAGGTCAATGGCGAGGTAAGTTGAGAATTTCATGGATGATTCATTCCAGATATTGGGCAAGTGATTGAATTTTATGGTTTCCACAGCTCCTTGAATATGGTTATTTGTATGCTTCCTTAAATTGAACAATCGTCCTGCTTCAAAATGCTGATGAACGTAAAAAGTAGGCCCAGTCATCGATAAGATATTTCTTGCCAATTAATTGGTGCTTTTCTGTGACATTTTCTATCTGGTGTCCTCATTATATTTTCACAGGCTGTCTAGTGACCGGGAATTGTCAGGGAAATTTTAATTGCTGGGAAAAATCAGGTAATTGTAAGAGATACTGTCAAAAAGCGAGCCCAGTCAGGGAAAATGAGCCGAAAATGCCGTAGAGTGTCCTGAGCAAAGACTTGAGGTTTTGGGGGCAGAAACATAGGCTATAAATTCTGCTTAGATCGGTGCGTCGGCTCTGCTCACCCAATGTATAGTGTGCTGCCCGATGCAAAGAACAACCGACAAATCCAGTCCAAGCCTTGGATTGGATTGAGGGTGCGACAGTAGGCTAGATCCAGTTAGAGAGCTCCTAGATATAGTAACACATGGGAAAGTTGCAGAACCCAATCCAAGCCTTAAGCCGAATGTATCCAAAAATGCATCTGGCGGCCATGTTGCCATTTGGTTATTTACAGGTGTGGTTGAGCGTCGTGTTTTCATTGTGTTTCCGGAAGTGGCCTCTTCACTGACGATGTCGGCGGCAAGAAAGTGCATCTGTGTTTTGTTTCACCCTAAAGGGAGGTGGTCAGAGTGAGCTAGAATCACTCTACGTTCCCTGAGTATCGAAACTCCCAAGCTTAATTTCAGAACCGCGTTGTGGCAGAGTAATCACACATAAACATTAGCGGAAACATGGTGCCCTGTGCTTTCAAAGCCAAGCTTGTACCGTGGAGCATCTGTATTTCAGTGAGTTCTTCAATGAGCTATCTGGGCCTGTAATAGCACTGGTTTGTTTTTATGACTTCTTTCCTCTTTTTGCTTGCTCTCTTTACTCTGAACTCACTTAAAAGGAAGGTAAAGTGGTTCTGTATCTGAGGAAAGAAACACACAAATCATCTATCTGCATTTGGCCTCCAGAATAATAGATATCAAAATTATTTTTTTTAATTTGGTGCGCAGCACGGAGTTTCTAGGAAATTGTTTTCAACATAGCGTTGAAGCCCCTTTTTTGCGGAGTGCGACGTCGTACCCAGAGTTCTCAGAATCCCCACTCTCGCACCCCTTTGCACCCATCAAAGCTATGCACACACACTCTTTATATTTTCATGATGGTCAGAAAAAGATTTCACAACTGGTCTCACATGCAGAGGAATATACCTGGCAAGATTGTATTTGCACATGCTACCCATATGAGTGCACCTTATGAAAACAAAAAAAAACAAAAAAAACGCACGCATGAATCTATGAGTTCCCGTTAGGGCTTCTATTTTTTAACTGGGGTAAACTTTGATATGGCAATAAAATATCGTAAAAATTATCTTGCCCCCCCCCAAAAAAAAAGGTTTTTCTTATGGATGAACATTCATCTAAGCTTATTTTTAGTAAAGCCATAAAGTAGCATAGTGGCATCTATTGTGACTGAAAATTGCATGGGATGCAAAGGAAATGCAATAGACGATTTGCTATTTTCCCAAGCACCCCGGCCCGCACGCGGGGAACAGACCGATTTCACACCTAGTTTGAGTACGCCACCACTGCCGACATGCATCGTGGGAGCTGTAGTCTTTCTGCACGCGCCACAACCCTGCTGGAGGTCTGCGCGAGCAGAGCACGAGGCGGCATGAGCTGTCTCGTGAACTGGCATCTGCCTCCTACGGACTACAGTTATGGTGGCGTCACGCATGCGTGGAACACTTGGTGAGATTGGTCTATTCTGGGAGAGACTGTCCCTCGTTTGGCCGCTCTGCCTTGAGATCGCATTGCCTTGTCGCTTGCCTTCTCTTAATCCTCTGTTTTTCTATCTCATCCTATTTTTATCCGTTCAAGTGTATTTTTTATTGCTTCTAAGTGTTTCTATTCCCTTCTGCACGCAATATTTCTTGTATATGTATAGTATTTGTGTCTTTATTTTTCCTTTTTTTGACGGGAGGGACGACGGACAATGCGCCGCTTCGCGCGTCGTTCCCCAGGTGAGTATTACCGTTGCTACCGATTCCGATCGTGCTGTTAGCTGTTCATTTTGGTTCAATTTGACCAGCGTGCAGTTGAAAGGAACCATTTATGAACACATGTCATAGAGATAGGCAGAGCTCTGAATCAACAATCGCGACGCGAGAGCCGAGTGTGCTGTGATTTGGCCGCCCGCACTCGCTCCATTGGCTCGCACCGTAGTGTATGCCTTCGAGTGCTGCTTACTTGACCAAGATACAGCACGCTGCTTTGTCACCGCGAATCATATGTCTGAATGTTTGCGAAACCGTAACACCATTTGGAATATCCAACACTGAGACGCCTGACAACTGCACGCAGCGGCGTGCAGTTGTCAGCACTTGGAAAAGGGTGCTTGCAACTGACAACCGCTTAGCAGATAGCGCTGTTCACACATATGCAACCGAGTAAGACCGAAAGAGACGAGACCAGTTTTGAAGCCTCTTGCGACGCCTAGGGACTGGAAGTGCTGCAGCAGAGCTGGTGCTAAGACGTCGCAAGAGGCTTAAAAACTGGTCTGGTCTCTCTCGGTCTTATTCGGTTGCATATGTGTGAGCAGCGCTTAAGCGCATACAAGCAGCGACGATGGGCCACCCGCGCTTGCGAAGGGCTCGCGCCGCAGCGTGCAATTGTCTGGCACCTTGGCATTGCATTTGCCTCAGCTTCGCAAACATTCGGACAAATGGTTCGCAGCAAAAAGGCTGCGTGCTGTATAATGGTCAAGTAAGCGGCACTCGAAGGCATACGCTGCAGTGCGAGTCGTCGGAGTGAGTGCGGGCGGCCAAATCACAGCGCACTCGGCTCTCGCGTCGCGATTGTTGTTTCAGAGCTCTGCCTACCCCTATGACATGTGCACGGGTGTTCATAAACGGCTCCTCTCGACTGCACGCGGGTCAAATAAACCAAAACGAGGAGCTAACAGAGCGATAGGAATCGTTAGCAATGGTAGTACTCACCCGGGGAACAATGCGCGAAGCGGCGCATTGTCCGTCGTCACTCCCGTCAAAAAAAAAACAAAATAAAGATGCAAATAATATATATATACAAGAAATATCGTGCACAGAAGAGAATAGAAACACTTAGAAGCAATAAAAAATACACTAGAATAGATAAAAAATGGTAATGGAATCGAAAAACGGAGGATTAAGAGGAGGCAAGCAACAAGGCAATGCGATCTAAAGGCAGAGCGGCCAAACGAGGGACAGTGTCTCCCACAATTCCTCGAGCGCCGGCCGAGGCGCTTGGGGGATTTCACAAAAGGGCTATTGGACAGGACAAGCGTGTTGATAACAAGAATCAAACTTGAGGAGGAGAATTGAAAAAGACTGACAATCGCACACCCCCCAGATGGTTGTTTGTCCGTCCTTTTTCTTTTTCTTCCTATGGTTGAAACTGAATTGTCTGACATTTTCTCCCCTTTGCTTACATCAGGAGTCTCCAACCTTTTCGGTTAAGGGGCCGGATGAGCAATCTGTCGCAGTACCGAGGGCCAGAAAAATATATTGATTACAATAGAAGAAAATTCAGATAAATAAACCTAGATAAATATTTAAACACAGAATTTGTTGAAAAACCCTAAGGTTGAGGAGTATGTATACATCAAATTACCATTTAATATTTAGCTAATTATGACAGTACACAACAGTTGTGACCATGAAAACTTGCCTGGCATAAATCAAAGTGCACGGGAACTTTGGCAGATTCACGCAGGGCAAGAGATTAAAGAGAATGATAAAACTAATGCTGAGAGTATGCAATAGTTGTGGCAGAGGAAGCTAAGCATGATATCTTTGAGAATGCAATGGTATTTTAACATAGTTGCACAGACATGAAGCAGGGGCTAAAAACGGCAATGCTAGTGGTGACAATGTTAAATTATCATATGGTGAGAGGACCCTTGTTGCAATGCAGTTTCTTTCGTTCTTTCTGGTATCCTAGTTTTTGTATTTACAGTGTGTCGCACCATCATTTCTTTGCGCGCACTTGTTTCTGTGCCGCTAGTGGCGGGTTTGCTGGAAGCGGGTTGCAAGCCCGGCTTTAGTTAGAAAACCGCAGCCAGCCGAGGGCCGGTCGGAAGACTTCCGCGGGCCGTATCGGTTTGGAGACCTCTGGTCTATGTCGTAAGGTGTTTGCATCCACACTATAGACCGACACGCTGTTTACAAACAATCCGGCATTTGCCCACACCAGGTGTGGGCACTGCGCGTGCGGAGAAACCAGATCTGCGTGAGGTGAAGCTTTTGCACATGCGCCGTGGCGACAACAGCGCCACCGCAGAGGCGTGACATCGGAGCCGCGTGTTGGTCTATAGGGAAAAAATGATAAAATTCATTGTGATCAATCTGTTAGGAAACCGATTTATCCAGTCCCTCCATTCAAAGGGCCATCATAGCACCAGATTTTTGTGGTAAATGCTATTTAACCTATACATACATCTATTTCTAGGTTCACCTTGGCCATGGTGTTCTAGTGGAAAAGGAGAAGCTTTCATACATCATGGGAGCCCGGGGGGACTCCATGTTCATCAAGGAGGCGACCAAGCTGGTCTTCGGCCGGGAAAACTTGAATGGCCGAAGTACGACTGGGGTGCCATGCCGGCGCTTTAAGGGCGCCGTGGCCAAGAGGGCGCTGACACCGGCCAAGTTGGGAGCAGCCCGGAGTAAGTGCCCACTTTTCACAGGTGTCTCATACTTGAGACAATCGAGCCTGATGGCTAATAAGACAAAATTAATGGGATAAAATATTCCAAGGCTTTCAGATGTTTCAGTGTTATAGGCTGTTGAAGGGTCATAGTTCGACTAGCTCTAGCCTTAGGAAGAAAAATAGTGATCTTGTCACGGTCATCTAGGTTGCTTGGTGGTTTGATGTATTCACACTGTGGAGGTTTTATAGTAACATGCTCTGCGTTGAAAATATCTGCTAATCCCCACAAGTTTTGGAGGGGGTCCCTGATATCAGAGGCCCGCTCGCAGGACTTCCTGCTGGCTCGTGGAGTAACAGTGTGCCCCTCGTATCTTTTTAGAAAAACTGTACTGGGAGGCACCTATTCTCTCTTTTGTAACGAACAGGCCACTAGAAAAGTTGTGAAAGTCAGTCTGTTTGATCACTAGAACTGCTGCAACCCAACTATGTCTGGCTCTGTCCTTTTTTGTACTGCCCATATTTTCTGAACCGCCTTCTCGTCGTGGGTGTTCATCCTTTCTAGTCTATTACAGGCTGAGTTTTCTTACCAGAGAAGTATCTCGTATGACTGGACCATTGAAGGGTCATGACACGGATATTAAATTAGTTAAATGATTCTTGATGTGAAATCTGTGTTGGAAATATATATACATGCCCATAAAGAGCAATTGCGCCTCAATCTTTCTTTTGCACAAAAAATGTTGGCCGAGAATTGTGTGTTCAGTGTTGCTTTCACTCGTTTCCATGTTGACATTCTGGAGCATGAAATATATTCGAGGTTCTAGGCAATCGGAGGCCCATGCTCATTACTGAAAATAGATAATTGGTTTTATAGAACATACTTTTATTTTAATTAACAGGCAGGCAAGCTGGTTAAGGATACACGTGGTAACCCGGGAACGTGGTGACAAAAAGGGACAGACAGACCCGAAGCTCTGGAGCTTTGTGTGTTTCTTTTCCTTTTTGTCCCCCCGTTCCAGGGTCTATAATTTTTACAAGCACTGAAATGCAAGGAACACACTGTTGCAAGCAAACTTCAAGTGCATAGTTGTGGAAGGTCACACTAGGTCTGTTCGATTAGCCTGAACCGGCCGATCTACAGGGTGAAACAAGGAGACGGCAGGCTCTTTAAATCGACCGGAAAATTCGGTTTCTTAACCTATCGCGCTACGACTTTGTGCAGCGTTGCCCACAGATGGTGCATTCTTTTTTTGTAAAATTTGCAAAGAGCGAGCTTACCTGAGGAAAAAGTAAAGAAAGAAAAAGGCTTAGCCATTCGGAAACATAGCTAAGTCACTGGTCTTCAGACAACACTTCGCCGTTTCGCACGGGACACAAGAGATGGCGCAACGAACGCCGCCAACGAAGAAGCAAATTGGCGCTGAGAGCCAGCATCTTTAGCAGACTATCTTTTCGACTCAAAAGCGATGCGACAACGAGGAACTGCAGTTCCTTGTCTGCTATATACGCCGGCTCTCGTCGTCGTCTGCTCGTTCGTTGGCGTCAGTTGGCGTCACGACCGCTTGCGCCATCTCTTGTCTCCCGTGCGAAACGGCGCCGTGCCGTTTGCAGACCGGTGGCGATTATCGAAACTGGGAAGTTCACGCTGGAGGCGGGACAACTGAAGCTGCTCCCTGTCGTTCGCACTTCGTCCACGACTAGACCACGACTCGTCCGCACTGAGGATATCAGTCCCGTCATCATCACTGCCACTTTCTCGAAGCACATCGATGGCGGCGTCCAACAAAATTTCGCACTTCGCAAATGACAGGATCAACCGCATCTTCTGCGCTTGCTCGGTGATCGCGTTGGACGTCACGGGTAGGGTCAGATTGCACACTTTTGCAGCGTACGTTGCAAGCCTGACTTCCAACTCCGGAACCAGACTTTGGCCTAAGGAAGCCTCTTTGTTTGCCGTCACAGTTTAAGAGCCCGCGCCACTGCTGACTCCACTGGAGCATCACCCGCTCCTACGGGTCGAACATGCGTCGAACAGCGCAGTTGTTGGTTGCTTCTGAGTGAACGAGCACTGAAAACCTAAACTGCCCGGATCACCCGTGTCAATACAAAAAGAAACCTAGTTAGCGCTCTAGCATGATCTCGTCACTCGATCAAACGATGTGCTACCGTGAATCGCACGAAAAACTGCGAAAAGCCACGAGGTGAGTGAGCCGGTGAGGCTGTTCTTCCAGCGGCCTCCGGAGTGGCTCTTACAAGAAGTGCCGCCACCCCCCGGGAGTCGGGCGCGCCGTGCGCTGTTTACCGCCATATATTTTAGTTAATTTCCGAATCGCTATCAATAATACTCGTTCACGCGAATAAAAAATAATCTGTAAAATGAGCACGAAGAATAGTGCAATGTTAGAGTTACAGCCGGCTGAACTCGTAACAAACCGAGGTATTCATGATATCGCAGTTGTCTCGTTTTTCCAACGGTGGGATGCTTTGGTTCGATTATAAGCCGACCCCCCCCACTTCAGATTTTCAAAAATTGAACAAAAGGTTGACCTGCATTCGTGTAAATACGGTATTGTTTTAAGCAGACTGCCTAATCACGTTTAAGATGCTCTTGGGGGTTACATGGTATCACAACATATTAACAAAGCATAAATTATAGTGAAAATTGCTTCAATTATAATTGCAGGAAGTAAAATATTTAATTTTTCAGACAACTATAGATATACATGAGAGCAATACATGACTTATTGTTGTATTCTTTTCCTTTGCAGATGCCTTCAACGAGTACATCCGGAGACATCCACGGGAGGCATCTCCGGGGAAGAGGGCAGCCCAGATGAACCACTATGTGCGGGAGCTGCTGCAGGATATTAACAAAAAGCTTGACTTCTAGGCTTGCTTAGAGGTCAAGCTTCTTGTTGATTTTCTGCAGTATGCCAATTTGCTTTCCTCATGACTTGCAGCGCGACTGCAGTGCTTGTCCTGTATTATCTCCTCTGTTTGTCCTTGTCCGAGTCGCGCTGTAAGTCATGATGGACTCTTGTCAACTCGTCCAATTGTCTATTTCGCTTTCCTTGAATATACATATAACCTGAAATTACCTGGCTCAAGCTCATTCTTTGCATGACAAATGCATGTGAATTGTTAGACCTGCATAGATCCATACGTCAATATGCAAACCATTAACACCATGCTGATTCCCATTACTGCATCCAAACAGATAAACCCATAAAGATAAAGGTTTCTCTATCTGAACAGGTGATTCTGTATAAATATTGGTTCCTATATCTAAATGGGTCAACCTGTAAGGTACGGGTTCCTATACCTAAACGGGTCAGCCCGTACAGGTGTGGGTTCCTGTATCTGAACGGGTCAACCCGTACAGGTACAGGTTCCTGTATCTGAACGGGTCAACCCGTACAGGTACAGGTTCCTGTATCTGAATGGGTCAACCCGTACAGATACAGGTTCCTGTGTCTGAACCCATACAGGTACGGGTTTCCATTAGCATACGGGAGACCCGTATCCCATAACACCGTATGATTTCTACGGGTCAACCCGTATGAATTTTTATACGGGTTTTTTCAGTAGGGAGGTGCCAGTTCATTCTCGTTCACATGTGATGATTCCAGATATTCTAATTGCTCTGAAGCTGCAATACTGAAGCGAGACAAGCGGTGCGGTATATTTAATTAACGGAGCTCATAACGACTGGGGACGCTTTCACTGAAGCTTGTTTTGCTGCACTACAAGCGTGTATTGCAGCAGAACAAGCTTCAGTGAAAGCGTCTCTAGTTGTTCCGAGCTGCGTCAAGAAAATATGCGGTACCGCTTGTCCGAATTCAGTTGTGCTGTAGGGGACAAAACGTGTGCCAAGTTTTGTCACAAGAGGCATAATATGTCACGCGCATGCAATTTTGAATTTATCCGGCTTAGTGTGTTCTAGATGTGGCTACTCGAAGAAATTGCTACTTGGACGCAACTAATCGCAAATATTTCTGTAAGTTTTCGCGGCCTAAAAGCCAGCAGGTGCCTATTTGTTTTCCCTCAAAGGCGAGAATTCCAGATTCCCGAAACAGGAATACTGAAGCCAGACGACCGGTACAGGATTTTTAATTGACGGAGCTCAGAACGACTTGGGGCTAACCAATCGCAAATCATTTGGCAGTTTTCACGGCCTAAGATCCAGCAGGAGCCAGTTTGTTTACCCTCAAATCTGAGAGTTACCTATTTCCAAAACAAGACCTTATTGAAAAATCCAACAGATCGGTTTCGTGTGTCCTAGTGTTTTCTGGTGTTAACATCAGACCGGCCTAGTGTGTTCTGGTGCGCACATCAAACCATCCTAACCTGTTCTACTGTGCCCCGCAGAACACGTTCAACTAGTGTGGTGTCCCCATCCCACCAGCCTAGTGTGGTCTAATGTGCACATTAAGACACACTAGTCGGCTATGATGTGCAAAGCACAGCACACTAGAATGGTAGCACAATACGCCACACCAGACCAGTCAAAAATGCACACCACGGCACACTAATCTGGCCTGAGATGCACACCAGGGTGCCTCTGTCGTGCATCCATTACGGATGTATGTCTAAAGTTGAATGAAAACATGTTTTCTTGTAGAATTAAATAAGATGTATAGAGCTCAAACACTACATTTGATTTTATAAGGTCCTTAATTTAAGGGGCGATACAACAATTCACTTAGAATAATATCTACTTGCGCAAGCATGCTGACACAGTGTAATGAAAGTTTACATACGCTCCAGCCTGACGCACAGAACAGAGGTTTGTGTCGTCAACAATCATCGTCAGCAGCTTGTCATGAATGAAAACGTGAAAATATTTCAGTGGGCTTTTGACATCATCAGAGGCCGTAAACACGGGTTCCGCAGGCTTTACAGAACACCGGTCTTTCTTTCGCTATCCGAAAACTTACGGCGGTGATTTGTTTCTTTCTTGGCGTTGATAGAACTGGAAAGACGGGCGTTCCGCCTTCAGTTTTGTTATCGCTTGGAAGTTTTGTTGTTAGGCCCTTCCTTGGGAATTTCTCCTCGTCACCGTCACTCACTTCACTATCACTAGATCCCGCATCGGACACTGTTCCACTTTCCGGAATCGAAACCACACAGGGACGATCGCGACTTTGTCACTGGTAGAAAGATCCTGATGGAATTTGCATCGGGCAGCAGAAGAATACGAAACCTAAAATAAAAGAGCACCGGGTTAAATTTTATCAGTAAACAGGTCAACATAGAGATGTACTAACCCACGCCAAACAGGAAGCTTTCTACCGCTGATTCCTCGTGCATAGGTATGTAAAATTGAGAGTCAACGCCCGCCCCTAAACTATCGCCCAATATATTTACCGGGCTACAGATATAATTTCTCAAAACTACCGAAACACGGCCTAGTATAAGTACGGAAGGGAACACCACTCAAATCACAGAGCTACTATGGGATTCCTCTCTTACACGATACGCATATATAATATGTATCTTTTGCCCCGACTTTCATACGTTTCAGGGTGAAATACGTCTGCCCCGTGGAATCTAGAACTCATAAAAAGGCAAAATTAGCATATTTCAGAGCAGAGTACTGCTTACCTTTGTAACAGCAGGTCGAAGTGCGTAGCACGGCGTGGACGATACGCGTCCTGGGCGACGCCATGCACACCGGAGCCGACGGAGCGACGGAGTATCTGGAGAACCCTTCGGGGCCGAAATTCGAGACCGCGAAACCGAAACCACAAAATGTATGTCCTAAGGTACGTTGAAAATTCCGCCTGAAAATACAGGGTGGGTCACGTGACCCCCCAAGGTCACATGACCCACCCCCAATACCCTTCCCCCCTCCTCCTCAAGAGCTGCGCTCAAATTCGGCGTTACAGGGAGTTGTAAACGGCTTTCACTCTTTTTTTTTGTTCGTATAAAAGCAGAAATTAATTTACTGACATGGCGATAGTGCTGGTGCGCCCAAATTTAATTTTATTTTTGCAATCTTAACTGCTAATGTAGTTGCAGGCAGTGACAATCTGGATCTAGTTAGCAAGTCATTTGTTCAGAACTTCTGCCCAGTACAGTTATGCACATGCTTCAGGCCCCTCCATTTTTCAGGAAATAGTGTTTCACCCTGTCTGCACACAGGAGCAGAGGGATCAGAAGTCTCTCTTTCGGGTGGGACAACACTGTCATACCACTATAGCCAAACTTTTAACTCAACAAGTGGTTGATGACAAAACAGGACGACTTTATTTCATGACTTCTTTATGCAGCATAGCACAGTACAGTCATTGTTTAATTGACATGCGAGTAGTTGCTACGACGGGAGTTGGTAAGGTTGCCAGCCTCCCACGTGAATAAATACTATCTTAAAGGCTTGATTTCAAAAGGTAGTCTTTATTTACTTAGTGCATAAAGCAGCCTGGCTGTGGCAACATCATAAGCTGCAATACCACTTTTATGGTAGTTACCACAGCCCTTGTGTCACCTTACTAAAGGTACCGCAAGGAAGAGCTGACATTACCTCCACAAGTTTACATCGGCACAAATCATAAATCAAGTTAAAGCGATCGGCTGATGGCCTCAAGATACTAAAACAAGTGAAAGCGATTTGCTGGTGGAGTGAAATTACGAAACATTTTGAGGGCATGCATTGCTGAAATCTCACCCTATTATCAACTGTAGAGTACATCTCGTTTGGGCATGTGCATGCTTCCTGACATTACTACAACAACGAAATGGGGTTGAATGTTGTGACTAACATAACTCTTTAGCTGAGGGCTAGATTGACGTTCTGAAAGAATATTGTGCTTCATTTATACTGCATTGCATGTCATTTTGGATATGTTGTGTGGCTATCTTTTTCATTATTAAAGCTAGTGTATATCCTAAGCTTGTAAGCAAATCAAGACCTTGATGTTACTCGTCTCTCTAACCTTCAATCCGCTCTCCTAGGTGCTGCTCTGGCTGCGCCACCTGGTGAGGGACGTGCCTGGGCCTACATGAATTTTGTCTATCGTTTTCACTTATTGACTTATTCAGGAGAACAGGCTAAGGGCAGAAAAAACAAGGACACAAAGAGGCAGGCACAAAAAAAAGTCAAACACAGGTACTGATCTAAAACTGATCTAAAGGTGATCTAAAGACGGTTCTCAGATCGTCTGTTCTTAGTGATAAATCATTCGACGGGCTCTTAGCATCCTAAATATCCAAAAATTATTGTCGTTCAATTCCCATTTTCTTCCTAAAAATAAAAATAAAATAAAAATAAAAGAAGATGCTTAAATATTGCCATATGACGACGAGAAGGTGAACTATATTCGAAAAAGTGTACATGCGGATCAGAGTGACATCAGTGTTATCTGATAGCCATGTCTCACAAATTTGTTTCTCATTGCCAATAATACCTATATAGGGGTAAGTAAGCTAGCCAGTTTCGCTAGTATTGTCACGGGTGGTGACCAAAAGAACAGTAAATAAAGAGGAAGAAATAAGCGTTTAATGGTGCCGAACTTGTGCCAAAAATAAAAGAGTACAAAAAAATAACAGCGTCGCGGGCGTGGAAGTCGGCGTAACAGTAGAGTCGAACGCTGGGGCGAGACTGACTCCGCTCGCCTTGAGGAGCCCTCGTTGGTTTCTGGATCATTCGGCGTAGAACTTTCGGTGCGTAGAACAATCGGAACACGATCAAGCGAGAGTGCTCTCGAACGTACAGGAAGGCCAAGCTAAAAGTGTAAATAAAATGACAGTCCGCTGACTGGAATTGAACCTGTACCTTCCGCGCGACAGTTTTGCGCGGTAACCACTCGGCCACGCAGGCTATGTTTTTTCTTTTCTTTATTGCCTGGTTTTGGCAGTAATATAAAGCCACAACACATGCTCAAAGCCGGG